AGTAATAAATCTTAAATCCCCACTAACACTTTCAATATCTTGAAATTCAATTTTGGATAAACATATATGAATTAAGAGCCAGTGATGAATTTAATAAAAATGTGTTTCAACCACAGGCTTAGTTGTTCAAACTTTGCTAAAGAAAATACACACATATCAACAAAAGGGACACAGCATCTACTAAGGAAATAAAAACACAAATAATAAATTAATGAATGAATGAATTAATTAATTTATATATCTCTCTTTTCATTTTTTCTCAGATATCGCATGGCTCTCATTCTTATTTCATTCCGTTTTTCACTAATTCCTCACATTATCAGAATGAGCTAACCTAGTCATACACATGAATACTCACCATCTTTGTGGTTTATTTATTTTTAAAATTATTTTTTAAGTTTCAGAGTACATGTGCAGGATGTGCAGGTGTATTCATTTGTTTTCACATTGTTGATAAAGACATATCCAAAACTGGGAACAAAAAGAGATTTAGTTGGATTTATAGTTCCACATGGCTGGGGAGGCCTCAGATTCATGGTGGGAGGTAAAATGCACTTCTTAAATGGTGGTGGCAAGAGAAAAATGAGAAAGAAGCAAAAGTGGAAACCCTTGATACACCCATCAGATCGTGTGAGACTTATTCACTATCACAATAATAGCATGGGAAAGAACAGCCCCCATCATTCAATTACTTCCCTCTGGGGCCCTCCCACAACAGGTGAGAATTCTGGGAGATACAATTCAAGTTGAGATTTGGATAGGGACACAGCCAAACCATATCATTCTGCCCCTGACTCCTCCAAATCTCAAATCCTCACATTTCAAAACCAATCACGCCTTCCCAACAGTCCCTTAAAGTCTTAACTCATTTCAGCATTAACCCAAAAGTCCACAGTCTAAAGTCTCATCTGAGACAAGGCAAGTCCCTTCCATCTATGAGCCTGTAAAATCAAAAGCAAGCTAGTTACTTCCTAGATACAATGGGAGTACAGGTATTAGGTAAATACATCCATTCCAAATAGGAGGAATTGACCAAAACATGGGGTTGCAGGGCCGACAGAAGTTCAAAATGCAGCATTGTAGTCAAATTGTAAAGATCCAGAATGATCTCACATTCAGATCACAGATGCAAAAGTTGGGTTCCCCTGGTCTTGGGCAGCTCTGGCCCTGTGGCTTTCCAGGGTACAGCTTCCCTCTTGGCTGCTTTCATGGGCTGGTGTTTAGTGTCTGTGGCTTTTCCAGGTGCGTGGTGCAAACTGCAAGTGGATCTACCATTCTGGGGTCTGGAGGACAGTGGCACTCTTCTCACAGCTCCACTAAGCAATACCGCAGTCGGGACTTCGTGTGGGGGCTCAAACCCCACATTTCCCTTCCACACTGGCCTAGCAGAGGTCCTCCAGGAGGGCACCACTAAGGGTGGAACCCACTCCCAATGTTTCAACGTAGGTTCTTTTTATTTTCCATAAGTGTCAGCCAGCTGAGAAATAAAGAGAAAGAGTACAAAGAGAGGAATTTTACAGTTAGGCCTCCAGGGGTGACATCACATGTTGGTAGGACTGTGATGCCCACCTGAGATGCAAAACCATCAAGTTTTATTAAGAATTTCAAAAGGGGATGGGGTGCAAGAACAGGGAGTAGGTCACAAGATCACATGCTTCAAAGGGCAAAAAGGAGAACAAATATCATATGCTTCTGAGGAAAGAGGACAAAGGCAAATTCAGAACTACTCATAAGGGTCTATGTTCAGCTGTGCATGTATTGTCTTGATCTTAAACAACAGAAAACAGGGTTCAAGGGCAGAGAACTGGTCTGACCTCAAATTTACCAGGGTGGGGTTTCCCAATCCTAGTAAACCTGAGGATACTGCAGGAGACCAGGGCATATTTCAGTCCTTATCTCAACCACATAAGACAGACACTCCCAGAGTGGTCATTTATAGACCTCCCACAGGAGTGCAATTCCTTTCCCAGGGTCTTAATACTAATATTCCTTACTAGAAAAAGAACTTAATGGTATCTCTCCTACTTGCATATCCATTTATAGGTTCTCTGCAGGAAGAAAAATGTGGCTCTATTTTGCCCGACCCTGCAGGCAGTCAGACCTTATGGTTGTCTTCCCTTGTTCCCTGAAAATCGCTGTTATTGTGTTCTTTTCCAAGGCACACTGATTTTATATTGTTCAAACACACACGTTTTACAATCAATTTGTACAGTTAAATATCATAGTGGTCCTGAGGTGATGTGCATCCTTAGCTTATGAAAATAACAGGATTAAATGATTAAAGTAAGACTGGCATAAGAAATTATAAGAGTATTATTTGGGAACTGATAAATGTCCATGAAATCTTCACAATTTATGTTCCTCTGCCACAGCTCCAGCCAGTCCCTCCATTCAGGGTCCCTGACTTCCCACAACATCTCTCCCTTTCTTTTTATATAAATGTGCCATGGCAATGAAAACTTGTTCGTTCTCTCGGTTTTGACGCACGATTCTTTGACTGGTCCAGTACACTAAAAACAAGCCGATTAAACAGAGAAACATAATTCCTAAATTTACTACAGTGGAGCCCCCAGTAGACTTAATCCAAGTCATGGGGTTTCATCCAGAAAGACTTTCTGCCACTTGATCTAATGCCTCAGCTCCAGGCACAAGGGATAAATGAGCTTGAGAGCCTTCAAAAATTTGTTTCTTTAATTTAGTTATGTCCAAGGATAAATTATCTTCCCTATCCAGAAGGTGTCCTTTGACCATTTCCCATGAATGATCAATCTCATTGTAGGAATATGTTGTGATGCAGAAATCAGAAGTATTCCAATTGCACTGCATTTGTATGCAATGCTCGAGACTCAGTAGCCAATCCCCAAGTCAAATAACAGACTGTCTTAAATCATTAATTTGATTAGCCAATTTTGGATCAATGCCTTGTTGAGAAGTCCACATTTGGGTGGAATTGGCTTGCCAATCATTAACAAAATGAGCCATTTGAGTAGATTGATGTAATGCCATTCCGGCAGTGGGGGCCAGTGCAGTGACTGTAATTAGGCCCATTATCACAGCAATTAAAGGGAAAACAAATCTTCTAGATCTTTTGAGAATTCATTGTAACACTTCATTAATTAAATGTATTCAGGGGTAAGATATTCATCAGGGATATTGCCTGAAGTTTTCTTTTTTTGTTGTATCTCTGCCAGGTTTGGTTATCAGGATGATGCTGGCCTCATAAAATGAGTTAGGGAGGAGTCCCCCCTTTTCAATTGTTTGGAATAGTTTCAGAAGAAATAGTAACAGTTCTTCTTTGTACTTCTGGTAGAATTCAGCTGTAAATCCATCTAAACCTAAGGTTGGTAGGCTGTTTATTACTGCCTCAATTTCAGAAATGTATTGGTCTAGTCAGAGATTTGATTTTTTCTGGTTCAGTCTTGCTGGAGGGTGTTTTTTTTTTTTTTTTTTTTTTTTTTTTTTTTTTTTTTTTTTTTTTTGGTTGGTAGGCTATTTATTACTGCCTCAATTTCAGAAATCCTTATTGGTCTAGTCAGAGATTTGATTTTTTCTGGTTCAGTCTTGGGAGGGTCTATGTGTCCAGGAATTTACCAATTGCTTCTAGATTTTCTAGACTATTTGCAGAGAGGTGTTTATAATGTTCTCTCATGGTTGTTTGTATTTCTGTGGGGTCTGTGATGTTATCCCGCTTATCATATCTGATTATGTTTATTTAAATCTTCTCTCTTTTCTTCTTTATTAGTCTAGCCAGTGGCCTATATATATTATTACATTTATTTATAAACCGGCTCCTGGATTCCTTGATTTTTTGAAGGGTTTTTTTTGTGTGTTTGTGTCTCTGTCTCCTTCAGTTTTGCTCTGAGCATGGTTATTTCTTGTCTTCTGCTAGCTCTGAGGTTTGTTTGCTCTTAGTTCTTTAGTTCTTTTAGTCGTGAAGTTAGGGTGTCAGTGGAGATCTTTCTAGATTTTTGATGTGGAGATTTAGTGCTATAAATGTGTCTTGCAACATTGCTTTAGCTGCATCACAGAAATTCTGATATGTTGTCTCTTTGTTCTCATTGGTTTCAATTAACTTACTGATTTCTGCCTTAATGCCGTTATTTACCCAAAAGCCATTCAGGAGAAAGTTTCCCAATTTTCATGTAGTTGTGTGGTTTTGAGTGGGTTTCTTAATCTTGAGTTCTAATTTGATTGCACTGCAATCTCAGAGACTGTTGTTATTTCAGTTCTTTTGCATTTTCTGAGAAGTGTTTTCCTTCCAATTATGTGATCAATTTTAGAGTAAGTACCATGTGGTGCTGAGAAATATGCATATTCTGTTGTTTTAGGGTGGAGCATTCTATAGATATCTATCAGATCCACTTGGCCCAGAGCTGAGTTCAAGTCCTAAATATCTTCGTTAATTTCCTGTCTCAGTGATCTATTACTGACAGTGGGGTATTAAAGTCTCCCACTATTATTGTCTGGGGGTGGAAGTCTCTTTGTAGGTCTTTAAGAAATTGTTTTATGAATCTGGGGGTTCCTTTATTGGGTGCACATGTATTTAGGATAGTTATCTCTTCTTGTTGAATTAAGCTCTTTACCATTATGTAATGTCCTTTTTGTCTTTTTTGACTTTTATTGATTTGAAGTCTATTTTGCCAGAAACTAGGATAGCAACCCTTGATTTTTTTGGCTTCCCATTTGCTTGGCAAATTTTTCTCCATCCCTTTATTTTGAGCCTATATGTATCTTTGCAAGTAAAACATATCTCTTGAATATAGCACACTGATAGGTCTTGTCTTTTTATCCAGCTTGCCATTCTGTGCCTTTTAATTGATGCACTTAGCCCATTTACATTTAATGTTAATAATGTTATGTGTGAATTTGATACTGTCATCCTAATGCTGGCTGGTTCATTTTTTAGACTTGTTAATGTAGTTGCTTCATCATGTCATTGGTCTGTATAATTCAGTGTGTTTTTGTAGCAGCTGGTAATGGTTTTTCCTTTTCATGTTTAGTGCTTTCTTCAGGAGCTCTTGCAAGGCAGGCCTGGTGGTGACAAAAATCCCTCAGCATTTGCTTGTCTGAAGAGGATATCATTTATCCTTCACTCATGAAGCTTTAGCTGGATATGAAATTCTGGGTAAGAAATTCTTTTTATTTTCAATATTCTTGTTCTTTCTTTCTTTCTTTCTTTCTTTTTTTTTTTTTTTAGATTTTGCCATTGAGGGCCCTTCAGTTGACTCCTATATCCTTTTGACATACCCCAACCATTGTATTATTTTTAATACTTTCTTACTTCCCAGCACTACAAGATATACCAGGGTCATCTTGCATAATTCTTTGCCCCAATCCTAGAACCAGCCAATTCTCTAAAGGGACCTGGTGCCTTTTAAAGAATAGTGTTAGAAACTCAGTGCTGGACTCTGAATGGGCACATTGTTACTTGGTGTTATTGTCCTGTTAGACAGCTGTCAATGTCTTCTAAGCCCTCAAAGATAACAGAACAAGAACTACATGTGCATATACTGACCGTGTATGTGTGTGTGTGTGTGTGTGTGTGTGTATACACGTCAAAATTTATATTTCTCTATGTAAACATCTGTGTCTATATTAAACTAAACACAAGTTCATAATGAAGTTGCCACTAATCTATTACCACATAGATCATTCCAGTCTCCTACCATTGCTTATCTAAAATGGTGAGAAACCTGGCTACCACTATCCACTATCCATTTACCTTAACTATTCAATTCCAGTAAACATGAATACAATTTATGTCTCATACAATGTGAAAACAACTTTATCTACTAAAGAACAGTGCTTCTGTACAGTTCTCTTTGCCTTTAGTTTTAAGACTACTCATTTCCCTTTATTTAGGTCACTTCCATACACTTTGTAAATGTATATATTTATTGGTGTTTTACTTATAGCTAGTGTATATAGTTATTATATATATTTTTCATTTTTACATTAAAACATTTATATTCTGTGATATTGATACTGATTTAAAAATTGGTACATACAAAATAAATTAACCTGAATAATTGTGGTATTGCATTTTGGAAATCCATATTCTTTCAAGAGAGATTCAATATGTGGCTTTGTTGTTGTTTATTTTCTTCATATTACTGGTATCTTTTCATGTAAATGTTGGTGCTAAGTTGTCTGCAGCACACATTTTTATTTGGTATGCTTTACTATAAATTTCATTAATTAGCATTTCTATCTACATTTAAATTTCTTCAATAGGAAGATTGGAGGCATTTTCTCTATTGATTTGGCTATTAATGTTTGAGTGTTCTTTACTTATGCAAATTTTTCCACTTGAATTCCTCTTCATAAAACGGGTTTTTTTCTTTTCTTCCACATGGCCAGGCTGCAAATTTTCCAAACTTTTATGCTCTTTTTCCCTTTGAAATATAAGTTCTAGTTACAGGCCATTTATTTGTTTATGCAAATGAATGTAGACTTTTAGAAACAGCCAGATCACCTCCTGAATGCTTTGCTGCTTAGACATTTTTTCTACCAGATAAACTAAGTCATCTCTCTCAAGTTCAAAGTTCCACAGATCTCTACAGTAAGGACACAGTGCTGCCAGTCTCTTTCTTAAAGCATAGCAAGAGTGACCTTTGCTCCAGTTCCCAATGAGTTCCTCATCTACATTTGAGACTGCATCAGCCTGGACTTCACTGTCTCTATCACTACCATCATTTTGGTCACAACCACTCAACAATTATCCAGGAAGTTCCAAACTTTCCCTCATCTCCCTATCTTCTTCTTAACCCTCCAAACTGTTTCAACCTCCATCCATTACCCAGTTTGAAAGTCACATCCACATTTTCAGGTATCTTTATAGCAATGCCCAACTCCCAGTACCAATTGTTTGTATTAATAGCTTGTTCTCACACTGCTATAAACACACACCTGAGACGGGGAAATTTACAAAGAAAAGAGGTTTAATTGACTCACAGTTCCACAAGGTGTACAGAAAGCATGGCTGGAGAGGCCTCAGGAAAACAGAGCAAAAGGTGAAGGGGAAGCAGCCAGTCTTCAAAAGCCCAGAGCAGGAGCAGGAGAGAGTGAGAGAGAGAGAGAGAGAGAGAGAGAGAGAGAGAGAGAGCGCAAAGGGGAAATTGCTACACACCTTTTTTATTTTTTTTTGAGACAGAGTCTTGCGCTGTCACCCAGGCTGGAGTGCAGTGGCGCAATCTCGGCTCACTGTAAGCTCCATCTCCCGGGTTCATGCCATTCTCCTGCCTCAACCTCACGGGTAGCTGGGACTACAGGCGCCCGCCACCACACCTGGTTAATTTTTTATATTTTTCGTAGAGACAGGGTTTCACCAGCTACACACTTTAAAACAAACAGATCTTGAAAAACTCTATCACCAGACAGTACTAGGGGGCTGGTGCTAAACTGTTAGAAACTACCCCAACGATCCAATCACCTCCCACCAAGCCTCACCTCCAATACTCCAACAATTAAACATGGGATTTGGGTGGGGACACAGAGCCAAACCATATCACCCGTTTTTTGATTAAAAAGGAACAGAGCAGGAGAGCAGGAGGGCACAAGATTTAATCATGCTACTAAGAAGAGCATGCAATTTAAAACTTATGAATTGCTTATTTCTGGAATATTGTAGTTTAACATTTTTTGGAACACATTTGACAATAGGAAACTGAAACTGCAGAAAGCAAAACGACAGTTAAAGAGAAACTACTGTTATCAAACTTCTAACAGCCTATTTCTAGCCATGCAAACCCTGCCTGCCACTCAATCCTCAAAAATAAGCCTGCAGAAGTCTTTCTGCTTATTCCTAAATAGGGTCATTCAGACAAAAATATGCATTTAAAATACTACCTTTTAATTGTGAAAAAATGTAGGCTACAAAGTGGAAAATACATGTGCCACAAAATGGAGATCATAAAATTAATAGTGAGAACTTTATTTTCATTTTTGAGATTCAAGAAATAAGATGAAAGTAGTATTATTTTAACTAAACTAAAAAAGACTAAGAGAGTACATTTTAGAATAGTTCTACACTTATGAAAAAGTAATTATGGAAAACAATAAGAAAAGCATATAAAATAATGTCAAGAATTTTTAATGTTAGATAATTGAGTTTTGGGTAAGCCATGGAATTAACACCTAATTATGCCTGGAAATGCAACTACTGATGAAAGTTTTACCAAACTCTATAATCTTAACATAAGGTTATATACAGGTCCATTAAGTCCCACAACAGGCATCTTCAAATGACTTATAGTACAGCAAAAGAGCAATCAGTGTTTATATAAACATGTAAGGAGAGAGAAAGCAGCTTAATCTAGTATTATTTAGTTCTACCTCATGTATGACTAAAACCTGTCATAGCTTTGCAGTTTGAAACAACATAAAGTTAATTTACTCTCTCTGAGTTATGTTGATCACCATGCTTGTTCTTAAGGCAATAACTAGTGAATATTTTTAAAGGAAGAGAAGGCAGTTCAATATTTAAATTGGTTTTACACCTTGTCTTGAACCTTGTCTTTTTAACCGTGTCTAGTTATTCTGAATGATGTCTTTGTGACATGGATTTCTCACCTCTTACCATTTGCATTATTAACTTCTGAATGCTCTTCAGGACAGAAGTTCACAAACATTAGTGGAATATTTACTCGATGCTATGTTAACTTTAGTGCTTTAATGATGAATAGCATGCTTCTTATTAATGAATATAATCCTCCTGGGGTTGTGTTATTTAACACTGATTGCTGTTGGATGATTATTTTCTGTGATGTTGTTTATACTACATTAATGCAAACAAGATTATGTCTGCTATTTTACCATCTGCATTAAATGATTCACTCATTAAACTTTTCAACAACTGATACCACCAGATCCTGAAATCATTTTCTTCTCTTTTGTTAATCATATCATTAATATATTACTCATGCAATCTCTTATCTTAAAACATATATTAAAGACTCTGTATAATCTTTAATAAATTTCAAAGATTTTCTTTTATTCAATATTACATATTTGATGTATTTTAATGGTAATCCTGTAAACCTAATAACCTAATAGTGACATTTAATAATGATTTAGAAATTATTTATATTGCTTAATATTTGTGTATTTTCAGACTTCTATAACCCCCCGTTATGCATGCATTAAATGTTTTCATCAAAATGTCATTTTTAATAGTTTCAGATCAGGCAAAAATATAAACCTTTGAAATGTCATTAAATATCCACATTTATTTTGAGCCATGTGCCAACATAGCTTGAGAGGGTAATGTTAATGTTTGCATAATGTGCAATCTGCGTAACAACAATACATAGGCATACATGTTAACATGTTTCAAAATTAGAGTTGTTAAATAATTCTTAAGAGCACACATGAAGATTTTTGTACAATGTTTGAGCTTTATAGCCTTTAAAATTTATGCAATTTTGAGTAGTTTTCACTTCCACCCAAAGTTTATTATTTTTAATTTTCAAAGGCTAAAGATTTTTCATCTTTGTTAATGATGTTTTTGATAATTGCTTCTGAATTTTGCCAGGAATTGATAAACTCTTTATTATTATATTTGAAAAATAGCGTTTCTTCCACAATGCAGCATTTTAGAGCACTGTTCTTGCCAAAGTTTTCCCAAGACATTCACAAATGGCATTGCCAGCAGATCTAATTTCCTTGATATCTTATCTACTTTTTCTGCATCTGGACATTTTTAAAGATTAAAAGATTTAGGTGCTAAGCTACATCTTACGATGATTACATAATTGTTTTATGCCTTCTGAGTGGGAGAAAATGTTCATAATGATGAAAACGTAAGAAAATATAAAAATTGAAGATTGTGGCATTTGCCCTTGAGTAGGCTGACTAGAAGTATAAAATAAAAAAAGAAAAAACTTTACTTAATTGTACATTTTTCCGAAAACCTAGATAATTTGGCTGTGGAGTGCATGGTATTAGCTGTCTTAGTTTAATGTCTGCCACTGTCCAACTCCACTTTATTCAGGTCAGTTCTTCACGAATTTCCTCATCAGAATTTATCACTAGCTAGAGGATATCCTAATTGTAAAGTGCTGCTTCAAGTATTATACATTTTTAAGTTGGGTTGTCTTTTTTTCTCAATGATTTGAGAATTTCATATGTTCAGTTTACAGCTAATTCATTAATTGTGCATTTGCTGCTATTAAATTTCTCAGATTTACTTTGAATAAAAATAGCTTCATTTCACTTATAATTTGAAGAATAGTTGTACTGCAATAGTATTCAATATTGCCAGCAATTTTTTTTCTTTTTTTTTCTTTTTTTTTTTTTTTTTTTTTTTTAGACAGAGACTCACTAAGTCTCCTAGGCTGGAGAGCAGTGGCTCTATCTCGGTTCACTGCAAGCTCTGCCTCCTGGGTTCACATCATTCTCCTGTCTCAGCCTCCCAAGTAGCTGGGACTACAGGTGCCCACCCCCATGCCAGGCTAATTTGTTGTATTTTTAGTAGAGACAGAGTTTCACCGTGTTAGCTATAATGGTCTCGATCTCCTGACCTTGTGATCTGCCTGCCTCGGCTTCCTGTTGCCAGTAATTTTCCTTCAGTGATTTGAAAATAGCATTTTATATTCAGCTGGTTTCCTTTAGCCTTAATAGGTCAACTTGTAGGCCTTTTAAAACTTCTCTTTACGTGAACTATTGTTCAGATTTTCCGTTCTATTTTGTTGTTATTATTAGAGTAGCTTTTCCCTCAAAATCTCAGTCTAGATTTTTTCTTATTTATTCTCCAGTTTAGAAATTCTTTATTCATCTTTGTCTAATGTATTTTTGCTTCCATTCCTTGAGTTCTTAAATTGTTATTTGTTTTGTCAGTTTCATATTTTTCATTTGGTTCTGCTGTATAGATTCCAGTCATCTGCCATGATACTTTACATGTTTTGTTTTTCTTGATATATTAAATGCAGTTATTTTGATGTATTTGAAAACTCCTTTACCTGGTTTCCTATTGGTTTTTTATTAATGTAAATTTCTTCTCTTGGATTTATTTTCATGTCTGCTTTTGTCCATACATGTTTGTTTGTTTTAAATTTAATCTATGACATTGTGCATAAAAAATTGAGATAACTTGAGCCTAGGATTACTTGAGTCTAGAATGATGTTGCATTTCTTAAAAGATGATACAAAATTCGTATTTTCCTCAGTTTGCTTATAAATTTGCATATTTTAGATTTAACTTCGGCCCATTTGTGAACTGGTCTTTTTGTTTTTCCTTTAATACAAGCATTTTCTTTTCTGTGCAATTTTATGACTGTCTAAATCAAAGCAAACATTTTGAACTCAGAAATAATGTCTGGTCACATCCTGCTATTTCCTTGACCATCTGATGTAGATCTAAATGTCATGTGTAGGAGTCTTCCTACGCTATGATTCTTTCAGTATCTAGAAGATGTGCACAATTCTCAGGTGGGGAATCTTTAGTAAACTTTTCATTCAATGTCTTCTATATAGATACTGCTAAAGCACTGTACAGAAAATATGGACTCATCTGCCTAAAATCTATCATCAACCAATTAACCTTAGCCAGTGATAATAATACAGATGTTATAGAAATGGAGAATGGTGAACAGGTGAAAATTGACTGCATATGATGCTTTTTGCAAGAAGTTCTTCATGGAATAAACTACTTGAAACTCCAGGCCCATGTTCTAAAGGAATATTTGAACTGATAGTTTTATGGAAACCATTCCACAGCCAGTGACATAGCATTTTCATATTACCTATAAGAATGGTAAACCTTCCAAATACTGCATGTTCTCACTTAGACTGGGAGCTAAATGATGAGAATTCATGAACACAAAGAAGGAAACAACAGACACTGGGGTCTACTTGAGGGTGGAGTGTGGGAGGAGGGAGAGGAGTAGACAAGATAACTATTGAGCACTAGGCTTAGTACTAGTACATCTTAAAATTAGGGTTTAGGTTTTTTATGGATATGGGAGATGTTGAGTGCACTAATGCAAGTCACAACAGTAATGTTGCTGTTTTCATTTGTTTTGTTTGCAAAGCCCACACAACATATTTCGATTTCCCTCTTCCTCTTGCATTTGTGGTGTCCAAATAGTCTTCTGAATTTGTTGTAAAAACATTCCAACTAGACTTTATCGTTCCTTAACTAGGATGACATGAAGTTTTATGTTTCAGAGCAAGTTGCTTCAAATTCTCATTTTGAAGTTTGCCACTAAACATTCATCAAAATTTTAATTTTATTTCTACTTTTTTTAAAAATTATTTTGGATACATAATGGCTGTTATATTTATGGACTACATGTGACCTTTTGATTCAAGTATAACGTGTAATGATCAAATCAGGGTAATTGAGGTATAGATCACATCAAATGTTTATTATTTCTTTGTGTTAGGAAATTTCAATTTCACTCATAGTTATTTTGAAATATACAATAAATTATTGTTAACTACAGACACCAGATTGAGCCACCTAACACTAGTCATTCTATCTAACTGTATTTTTGTACCCACTGACAATCTCCTCCATTTAACTGCTTCCCATCTTTCTCAACCTCTGGTAACCATCATTCTACTGTCTACCTCCATGAGCTCTATTGCTTTTTTTTTTTTAGTTCTACTGTTTCGTTTGAGGTCCTACATGTAAGTGAGAACACGCGACATTCATCTTTCTGTGCCAAGTTTACTTATAATGTCTTCCAGGAGTGCCCATGTTTTTGTAAGTAACAGGATTTCATTCCTTTTTATTACTGAATAATATTCCTTTGTGTATATGTAACACATTTTATTTTTCCATTTCTTCATTGATGGATATATACATAGATTCCATATCTTAGCTATTACTAATAGTCCTACAATAAACATGGGAGTGCGCCTTTCTCTTTAATATACTGATATCCTTTCTTTGTACACATAGCCACATAGCCAGTAGTAGAATTGTTGGATTATATAGTATTTACACTTTCAGTTTTGTTAAGGAACCTTCATACTGTTCTCCATAGTGGCTGTAGTAATTTGCATTATCACCAACAGCATAAGAGGGGAGAGTTTACCTTTCTTCAAAGCCTCTCCACCATTCATTATCTGTCTTTTGGATAAAAGTCATTTGAACTAGGGTGAGATGATATATCATTATAGTTTTAATTTTCATTGTTTTGATAATTAATGATGTGAAACATTTTCCCATGTACCTTTTGGTCATTTATATGTCTTCTTTTGAGAAATGTGTCTTCAGATCCATTGTTTGTTTTTTTTTGTTTTGTTTTGTTTTTTTTGAGACGGAGTCTCACTCTGTCACCCAGGCTGGAGTACAGTGGCGTGATCTTGGCTCACTGCAAACTCCGCCTCTCTTGTTCAAGCAATTCTCCTGCCTCAGCCTCCCGAATAGCTGGGATTACAGGCATGTGCCACCACGCCCAGCTAATTTTTTTGTATTTTTAGTAGAGACGGGTTTCACCGTATTGGCCAGGCTGGTCTCGAACTCCTGACTTTGTGATCCACCCTCCTCAACCTCCCAAAGTGCTGGGATTACAGGCATGAGCCACTGTGCCCAGCCCAATAATATTAGTTATTTTAGGTAGATAAAGTTTTTAAATATGTATTTTAATTTGTGATTAAATAGCTAAAATACATCTGTGGAAGAAATTTGAGGATTTTTCATTGGTATTTTACATAGTATGACAATTTTCTGAAGTTTATCATGAAACTCAGATTCTACTTTAAAATTCTTGTTCAAAAAATACCAGCATCTGATTCATCATGGTGTTGACATCAGTTGATTATCTTTACTTATGCAAGTTGTGATTTGCTGACTTCTTTTTAAGACATGTGAGCTTATGTTTTTTTTTAAATGTATCTTAGACATCTGGTCCATTGTGTTAGGACATCCTGAATTTGATTTAAATATTTTATTTTATCAGGGAATCACCCTGTTTAGGTTCAGCATGTGAGTCTTGGTCTAGTTTCTGGGTTGAGGGTCCAATAACAGTTTAATTTTCAGAATCTTTGTGGTGTCATTTTGATCTACTTGGCTTACATGGACACTGAAATGTCCATGAGCAGTAGATAGAATAAACAAATTGTATTATATTCAAATAATGGAATAATTTACAATTAAAAAATAGATTATGTAAACTCATGAATAAATTTCATAAACATAATATTGAACAAAAGAAGCCAGGGTCAAAATAATATATAACTCAATTTATGTGAATTTTTTTTTTAAAAAACAGTATAATCTAGAGTGATAGAAGTCAGAAAAGTAGTTAATTCTGGTTCATGGATTTTGACTAAGAAGTGAACATTGAAGACTTCTTGTATCTTGGAATGTTTCAATATTCTATGTGCTCATCTGGTAGTCTTTAGTAAGAAAAACAATATGTGTATATATGTATATAATATAAACATATAATAAATTAGTACACATGTACAGTTTGTACCTTTATAATGTGGACCTTATGATATATATGCTATAAGTTAATAATTATGTAAATTTTAAAAGATATTTAACCTTTTTGTCAACTTTGCTTTAGTCTTTTTTTTTTTTTTACTGTTTTCTTGTATACATTTGAGGTTTCCAACATAATGTTATGTGATTCATATAATTATAAAGATACACATGGATAGTACAATGACTACTGTAGTTAAGCAGATTAACATATCTATCATATCCCAAAATTATTTTTGTATGGCACAAGAGACATTAAAACCTTCTTATTATGTATTATGTATTATATAACAAAATCCCTAAATTGGTTCAAAGATCTCTTAAAGATATCAAATATCCATGGATGCTCAAGTCTCTGATGTAAAATGGCATAGTATTTGTACATAACTTATACACATCCTCTGTTAAATTTTAAATAATTTCTAGGTTATGCATAATACCTAACACATGTAAATGCTGTGCAAGTAGTTGTTTTATTGTATTGTTTAGAGAATCATGATGAGAAAAAAAGTTTGTACATGTTCAGAGAAGGTACAATTTTGGTTTGAATATTTTCAATCCATGGTTGATTGACTGAATCCATGGATGTGGAACCCACGGATATGGAAAGCTGATCATATTTCAAATTATATGCTAGTGTGCCTATGAGTATGTAAAATTTTACTAATATGAGATTAAAATTAGCATATACTGTCACTATATAGTTAATTTGAACTTTTAGAGTCATTTTGATCTCTTTATATTCAATTTTAAATTGATCTTAAGGGAATAGAAAATGACAGGAAAACATAAATAATTCAGTCTTTTTCTTTATACTCTAACTTTTCTTTATACTCTAATAAGACTAATGTTAATGTTAGTTTTGAAACAATTCCTTATCATATATTTTAAATTAAATGTCAATTATATGAATGATGTGTGTACTTGTTTATTCATTTATTATACATCAATTAAAAGTTCAAAAATATTCTTGACAGGGCCTTTTCACCAGATATTCTGATTTAACTGGTCTGGCATAGAGCACAAACATTACTATATTAAAATACATTGTTCTGCCTTTCAATATGTAGACAAGGTTGAGAACCACACAATCAAAAGAATAATCAGCACAAAATTTTAGGTATAAAAATGCTGATATAGATCCGCAAATAAATAAGTGTATGTACTATAGAGATACAAAACTTCAGTTCCCACATCTTGCTGTTCCATTATAGACACAACATTGATTCTAGTTTTCCATAGCATGGGAAATAAAATTATCAGTTTTACTGGTTACAACTGTGTAACTCTAATAGATCTAAAGAAGAGTGTGGAAACATCTCTTGATGAAAATGTGAGCATCTTCCTTCCTTCTCTGTATTCATCTATCTATTTAGTGAGTCAGCACTCTAATCTATCTGATGACCTTCCTTTTTCTTTTTTCTCCTTTCTTTTTCGTTTCTGCTTGTATATAGTTTATATAAAAATGTACATGTAACTTTTACTTTTTTTATATTTTTTTCCTTTCCCATTGACATTGGTTGTATTTTGTTCAGTCACGCCATATAAATGTGAAATGAAAGTGAGTTCTTACTGAATATTCTTTGGTTTATTATCAAGAGGTAACCCCATACCAGAAGTATGTTGGTAACTGAACTATACTGTAAACTTAATTATCTTACACTACTGGTGGGTTTTATTTGAATTACACACCGATGCTTTTGATATATAAAATGTGAGTTGGGTAGGGGAATACATTAGTTAGTATGACAGATCTTTTAAAATGGCTCTTTTCTAGCTTAATATGTTTTGTTAACTTTAAAGAAAAGAAGATATAGTTACTCTGTTTTTAGGTGGCCGTAGTTATTGCTGAGATTACATTCATCCTGTGTTGATTTTACCTTTTATTTATTTATGTATTTTTACTACAGTAGACCCTTGAACAATGTGGGTTTGAAATGCATGGGTCCACTTACACAAAATGTTTTTCAATAAACATATTGGAAAAATTTTTGGAGATGTGCAACAATTTGAAGAAAACTCACAAATTGTGTAGCCTAGTAATACCAAAAATAAGACAAAATAGATATGCCGTAAGGCATAAGATATATGGAGATACAAGTCCATTTTGTCTTATTCTACAATAAAAACCACACATTTATGATACAAAGTTAAAATTCATCAAAATCTACCTGCAAATCCTTACAGAGTCTTCGTGGGCACCATTCAGAATGGAGAGAAATGTAAACAATGGTAAAGATTCAGTTTTAAATCATAACTGCATAAAATTAACTGTCGTACGTAATGTGCTACTGTAGACATTTTGTAGCTGCCTGTTGTTGCTATTGCAGTGAGCTCAAGTGCTGTAGATATCTACTTCAAATGCCAATTATCTCTGCCTGAGAAATTCCTCTCTTAGGTAAATTGCTTATAGCAGCGAAAAGTGGTATCTCACAGTCCTCCTAATCGTACTCAACAGGAAGATGACAAGGATGAAGATCTTTATGATGATTCACTTTCATTTAATAAATAGAAAATATATTTTCTCTTCCTTGCAATTTTCTTAAAAACATTTCCTTTTCTTTAGCTTCCTTTACTGTAAGAATACAGTATATGATATATATAACATATAAAATATACACTAATTAACTGTGTTATCAATAAGGCCTTCGGTCAAGAGTAGGACATTCATATTTAAGCTTTTAGAGAGTCAAAAATTATGTGTGGATTTATTTATTTTTACTTTTTTTTTTTGAGACAGAGTCTCGCTCTGTCACTCAGGCTGAAGTGCAGTGGCTGGATCTCAGCTCACTGCAAGCTCCGCCTCCCGGGTTCACGCCGTTCTCCTGCCTCAGCCTCCTGAGTAGCTGGGACTACAGGCGCCCGCCACGTCACCCGGCTAGTTTTTTGTTTTGTTTTGTTTTGTTTTGTTTTGTTTTGTTTTGTTTTTTTAGTAGAGACGGGGTTTCACTGTATTAGCCAGGATGGTCTCGATCTCCTGACCTCGTGATCCGCCCGTCTCGGCCTCCCAAAGTACTGGGATTACAGGCTTGAGCCACCGCGACTGGCCTATATGTGGATTTTTAACTGCACCAAGTGTTACCACCTCTAACCGCAGCCCCATTCAAGGGTCAGCTGTATTTTAAATAGTATTTAAAAAAAAAAAAAATGAACAAACTTGATGTAGCTGCATCTGAAAAAAAATGTTCTTAGGCTGGGTAAGTCAGGGTTTTCCAGAGAAACAACAAATATATATATAAATATATATCTATTTAGATGTAGAAATACACAGG